CAACCGTCTCTCTGCCTACGTTGAATCAGAGGGTATCATAATGCTTAGAATAAGCACCTAGATCATAAGAAACTCAACATGCCCAGACAATTTTTAACTGGTAGGTTCTTTTCTTGTCTAAGAGGCATCACAAGTCACTAGTACAAGCTGAAGGATCACCGGGCGGTTTCACTTTTCTGCTTAATTTTACAAAAAAACATAACCCCAGCGGTCTCAACGCTATAAGCTGATTAAGCGAAAGGTAAAGCGCTGCTGCCAATTTTTAAGACTTTTTTGCTATGTAATTAAAAGACGAATTAAAATTAACCTCCACAAATGTTCACTTGAAAAGAAGGAATTTTTACCATAATTCATCCATAGATAAAGGCATCGGGTGAAATGTCTTGGATAAATACCCTCTGAATCATTCCTTAGGTGAGCTCATTTGAAATCCAAAGCGCAGTCCACTAAACTTCCAGACATACGTCTTTTACTACTTCATATTCGTAAGTAACAAAGAAGTATTGGTGAAGGCTAGAACTAAAATTAATGACCGATGAAACCATAGAGAACTGGTCAGGTCAATGCCGACCACTTGTCAAAGAACAACTTCGGTGGCCAAAACTACAACGAATTCGAAAGGAGGTACATAATTTTGGAGCGATGCCAACGCCGAATTTCGCGGCGGAGAAGAATGTTGCTGTCACAGAGCAGCAAGTAGACAGAAATTGATTTTCACCGTGGAGCTGATGATGTTCGGCGTTTTGTGGCTGTTGTTGCAGATGAAATCGTTCCCTGTTATACGATTATACTTTTAAGCGTATTTTTCTGTTTCCGTTTCTTTTTCTTTCTTTAGTTTCGTTTTGTTTTTCCTCTGAAAACTTCTAATTGAGTAATATTAGAAGACAAAAGTTGGACGGTTGATAATTTTGCAGTGACCTGTTGCAGAACTTTGATTTTCAAATTTTGTCGTTTTGACATGTTTTAGCCGTGCCTATGTGGAAAAATTTTCTTTCAACTTCTTCACGTAAAATTTTTGGAACCTTGTAGTAATCAGTTTCGGTTAGTCGGTTTTCTTTTATACATTTATTCACGTAAATAACTGCAGTAAGTCAAAACTGCTCCTTTATTTATTGTTGATTTCCTGTCAATTTCAGTAAATTTGTTGAGATTTTCGTAATTGTTTGTTTACACGACATGTGCTTTTGTTTGATCTTGTCGTTTTTACATTAATTTTTCTGTTATAGTGTCGATGAACACGGAAAGAAAAAAAGAAGACTTGTTGCAAATTTGGCGTAAGGGACACACTTAAGTAGTCACCCAAATGAAGTAGAAAAAAAAAACTGAATTAAGATTTATGAGTGAGAAATTCGTATTTAGCAGTACCAGCAAGTGGCATTACGGATTTAATTGTTAGCCTTGGCCTAAATCTGGCTAGAGATTTGGGAAGACTTACAGGACGCTTTTTTTAGCTTTAATACTAAACTTTCTGGACATTATTTTTAAGATGGAGGGACAGATTCTTAGTTAGGAAGCATCTTGCATTTACAGTCTCTTTTTTACGTTTTGTGAAAAAAAAGGTTCTGCGTGGAATTTAGAAAACAGACGAGTTACATGGATTAAATACTGAAAAAAATTTTAAATGAGATGTTTGATATATGTTTATTGACTAGTCATTGCAGCGTTTAATCGAAGTTCAGATTTTAATGTCGTTGTTTGCATTAGACGGTGTAGGTATCGCTGTCCTGAAGCACTACAGTGATATTATTGACACGCTGGTGGGTTGAATAAACTGAATGTTTGTTTTAGTTCGACCAGAATTGTGCATCTGTTTATAAGTTTTATAACTTTTTGGTATAAAGTGTAGATGTGTGTCGTTCTGTTATAATTATACTTGTTTTTGCTTCCAAGCAGAGGTTAGTGAGGGGTTTCTTCTGACATCGATCTTCATTGTATCAAGAAGTTTTTTGTGAGTTAGTCGTTGG